CGACCATATGGGCACCCCTGACCTAGGATAAGGGTCTGGCATAAATTTTGGGGTTACCACAAATTGCTTTTTACATTTACGTTTTTACATTTTAGATTGGGGTGTCTCTGGATTTTGCATACTTTTAAAGGGTGCCATGACTGAAGAATGTGTGAGAAAAACTGATCTAGGACATTAGGACATGGCCTGATATAATCAGATCATAGATATACAAGATCTAGTCAAGAAGGTTTCATTTGTTCTGTTGGAGCTTTACCTGCTGGGCCACAGACGGGGATGGAAAACAGGTTTATAGCAGGCAGAGCAGACAAAGCCCAGATGCACAGCTTGCTTTCATCCTGGGGCTTTAGTTCTCTTCAAAGATCTCATCCAGTCAACTAAGAACCACACAATCAAACCCAGACTAGATACGTAACTGCAAAATATGGGGAAAAAAAGGAGCAAAAAAGCTCATCATTAATGATATCAGTACACAGTTCATGCAGCTTTGATCATACATGAGAAGACCATACATGATAAGAACATGTTTTTGTAACTTGGTGTCATGGCATGGTGCTTTTGAGCATGTGAGGGTGTTATCTAATTGTGGGTTTGACATAAATCCTGTAATGCACTGTAGTAGCTGGAGCCACAGCTGTAATAGTGTTGCTTTGTGAAAATGGAATATGCTGTTGCAGAATACAGTGCAGCATGCTGCAACGCACCTTAAACCCTCCGTTTTTTTTGCAAAAACTTTTTTTTTTAAACAAAAAAACGCTTTAAAAGAGGTTTAAACTTATTTATGTCTTCACCGCGTGCTCCCGTGCGAAAATCTGAAAAATCTCGGGCGGCCGACAAGCATCTTGGGGCGGGCGTATGCGCAGTTCGGATTTTCGGTCGGGAGACGAGGAGAGACAAAAGGTAAGTCTATGGACGCGTGCACCCGCATGCGGACACCGTGGGACAGGAAGTGCCAGCAAGGACAGAGGAGTAAGCGCTGAATCGGTGACCCACAGCAGCGCTGGAGCGAAGGCTAAAAACTACAGGAAACAAGAAAAAGATCGGATTAAGAGACATCATTTAAGGTAAGTACTTTAATTAACGTTGGGGGGAGGGAAAAAAATATTTGCCATTAATGTCACTTTAACTTGTCATACATAAATCCACATTTATTGCACTAGGTGGTGAGCTCTGCTTTTGTTGTTCAACAGTTACGTAGAAGCCTATCACCGTAGTGATAGATGGATGTGGTTACTATTGGTTAAAGCTAGTTCATTTTTAAATGAAACTGTTGGCAATGAGTGCTTTGGCAGTAGGTCGGAACACACTACAGATATAGTGACAGTAATTGTTGGGGTGATCTCAGCAGAGGTCAGTGTGTGCTCCTGGGATACTGTATGTTGGGTGGGTGCACCAAGGAGGTAGGTAATGCTGCTGATGGTGTTGAATTCTTCATCAGGAGTAGTGGCATATAAGTAAGACCCGAGAAGCAAGTTTTGTTGGTAGCCATAATGCATAGGGAGGTGTGGGCAGTCAGGGCGCTGAGGGTCTCGCAATGTTTTGATAGGGAGGGTAGCCATGGGATGAGTGAGGAAATTGGTGTACTCACTGTTCATCAGAATTCTAAAAGGTGTCACTTGCGCTCCATATCCTGCACCACTCGTTGATGATGTTGTGCATGTCCCAGCTGGGACACTGTTGGGCAGGAGATCACTCCGTCTCGTAGTATGTGATACACTGCAAAATGATCTGCGTTCCAGTTGTCACTGAGCATACAGCAGATTCTTCCTTTTGGCTTGCAATAAGAAGTGATGAAATATTATTTTTGTGTTAAGTACTTCAGAGTGTAATTTGGACATGACTCCTTGTTTGTATAGTCAAGCTAAATCAACAAATCAATCAGCAAACAAAACATGGATACATATTTTTGGATATGCTTCACATCTGTCTAGGACTTGACAACTCTAAATTTGCCAGATGGGTTGCTGCGACTAAAGGTGGCCATACACTCTACAACCATCGCAAGACTTTAGTCTTAATAATAATTTAAGTAATAACTAGCCTTGAAAACAGAAGCCTAGGAAGAATAACAGCAAGCAGATATTCAAATGTACAATTATTGTACAATTTATTAAAACATTTTTTTAGGAACAGTAATTTTTTATTTTATTTTTTTAAACATACAAATATTGCCTCTGTGGGTGGATCTCCTGTGTTATCAGTACTTTGCTTTTTTTTTTCCGATAAACTTTAAAATAGCAGCACACAGTTTATTAAGAAGAGGCACAGAACGCAGCCCACTGGATGGGGGAAAAAAACTGCCCAAAAAACTGCCAGCAATCTCTGCCACTATGAACATTCAGTGGCATGCAAAAAAGCCAGCATCGCTGGCTGGAAGGACTGGGGAGGCGGGGTGGAGGTGGAGGCGGGCACCAGAGCGGCATTGTAAGCCGTCATGGCTGCAGAAAGAGAGGAGGCGGCGGTGGAGGCGGAGACAGGGCGGAGGCGGAGACGGAGCGGCACAGTAAGGGGAATATGTAATGCCTGCTCAGACTGGCCGCGCCGCTCACTTGCTGAAATCCCAACCTGG